GAAGAAGAAGAAGAAGAAGAAGAAGAAGAAGAAGAAGAAGAAGAAGAGGAACAAGAAGAAAGAAGAAGAAGAAGAAGAAGAAGAAGAAGAAGAAGAAGAAGAAGAAGAAGAAGAAGAAGAAGAAGAAGAACAAGAACAAGAACAAGAACAAGAACAAGAAGAAGAAAAAGAAGAAGAACAAGAACAAGAACAAGAAGAAAGATATTAGTCTTTTTATGTTGGTAGGTAGAGAAGAAAAACATGTAAAGGAAATGACTCAGGGTTGTTTACTGAATGAATGTGGGAACCCTTTCAAATGTCAAATGTTTGTAGTCTCTGGTCTTGCTGCTAACTAAACAAGCTGAATTGGTTTAGTGAGGATATGACAGATTTAATGGGATGACACTCTTGAGTATGAGCCACCCCAGGGGACTAGATGAGATCTTCGGTAAGCAGCTCTTTGTAGAGAAGCCATCAATAGCTGGCTTACAAAAATCTCCATCTTGGAAGGATTGGCTCAGGATTGAAGCAACTCCTGGGCAATATATTTCATGTCTACTACAAAGGCCTCTGCTACCGCATCTCCTTTCTAATGTTTTATTTTCTTAGCTCTATAACCTTGCCTTGTATCAGGGGTTCTCAACCTGTGGGTGGAGAACCTTTGTGCATATCAAGTATTTGCATTATGATTCATAACAGTAGCAAATCATAGTTATGAAGTAGAAATGAAAATATTTTAAGGTTCAGGGTCACCACAACATGAGGAACTGTATTAAAGGGTAACAGCATTAGGAAATTTGAACTTAAGAGAAACATTATACAAGGATGACAATAAATCTTGAGAGTAGTTTATATACATACTGCAATGCAGAGTAGGAAAAAAATAGATGAAATTGGAAATTAAGGATATACCACATTTTCTTTATTCATTCTTCAGTTGAGGGGCATCTGGATTGTTTCCAGTTTGGGGCTTTATGAATAAAGCCGCTATGAACATAATTGAGCAAGTGTCCTTGTGGTATGATAGAGCATCTTTTGGGTATATGCCCAGGAGTGGTACAGCTGGGTCTGGAGGTAGAGTTATTCCCAATTTCTTGAGAAACCACCAAATTGATTTCCAGAGTGGTTGCACAGGTTGCACTCACTCACACCAGCAGTGGAAGAGTGTTCCCTTTGTTCCATATCCTCGCCAGCATGTGCTGTCACTTGAGATTTTGATCTTAGCCACTCTGACCTGTGTGAGATAGAATCTTGGCTTGGTTTTGATTTGCATTTCCCTGATGACTAAGGACGTTGACAATTTCTTTAAGTGATTCTGACCACTAGAGATTCCACTGTTGAGAATTTACTGTTTATATCTGTACTCCATTTTGAAATTGGGTTATTTAGTTTGTTGGTGCTAAATTTCTTGAGTTCATTGTATGTTTTGGATATTAGCCCTCTGTCAGATGTAGGATTGTGGAATACTATTCAGCTATTAAAAACTGAACATCATAAAATTTGCAGGCAAATGAATGGAATTTAAAAATAATCATTCTGAGTAAGGTAACCCAGAACCCAGAAGATGTGTATTCTATGTACTCACTTGTAAGTGGACATTAGCCATAAAATACTAGATAACCATGTTACAATCTGCAGATGCAAAGAAGCCAAGTAATGAGGAGAGCTTAAGGGAGAACACTTGGATCTTAGTCAGAAGGGGAAGTAAATTAGACATTGGGAGTAGATGGAAGGAGGGACCTTTGTGGGGGAAAAGTGGGGAGGAAAACAGGAGGGATCAAATGTGGGGAAAATAGAAGGAGATAGAACTGAGAGAGAATGGAAATTATTGTTTGTTGTGGTGAGGGGGTCACACCTCTGGGATGAGTCAGAAGTCTAAGACAAGGGAAACTCCCAGGAGTCTATGAGAGTGACCTTAACTAAGACACCTAGCAACAGGAGATATTGAACTGAAACCAGGTTCTTGTAACCAAGCAAGACTTCCAACGGAGGGATGGAGACAACAACCCACCCCTAAAACATTCAACCTAAATTTTGTCCTGCCTACAAGAGGTTCAGGGATAAAGATGGAGCATAAATTGAGGGAATTGCCAACCAACTTGTGACTCATCCATGAGAAAGAGCCAACATTTGACATTATTAATGATATTCTGCTATAATTGCAGACAGGAGCCTGGCATAACTATCCTCTGAGAGGTTTACCCAGCAGCTGATGAAAACAGATGCAGAGACCCACAGCCAAATCTTAGGTGGAGCTCTAGGGAATCTTATGGTAGAATGGGACAAAGGAATGAAGGAGCCAGAGAAGTCTAGGACACTACAAGAAAACCTATAAAGTCAACTAAACTGGGTCTATAGGGTCTCACAGAAACGGAACCATCCCAAAGTGCATGCACGGAACAGACCTAGGCCCCTACACATATGTAACAGATGTGCAGCTTGGTTTTCATTGGGGTCCCCTAACAACTGGAGCAGTGGTTGTCTTTGACTATGTTGCCTGTCTTTAGATCCCTTTCCTTTAACTGGGCAGCCATGTCTAGCCTCAATAGGAGAAAATTCTCCTAGTGCCACTGCAACTTAATATGAAAAGGCAGGTTGATATCCATGGGAAGCTTCTCCTTCCCTGAGGAGGAAGGGAAGGAAATATGGAGGGGAGAGGAGGTGTGCAGGAAGGACTGGCAGGAGTGGAACCTGCAAACAGAATATAATGTTAATTAATTAATTAATTACTGACAAGCAAAACCTGGAACACTTTTACATTATTTCTGTACAATTGATGTTAACAGCTTTCTGTCAGCTCTTACCAAGTATATATGAGAGTTAAACCAGTACAGTGAGGAGAAAGGCTCATCTGTGGAAAACAGAGATGACTTCTAGTAGAATATAGATTCTTGGGGAGGAACCTCCAATCCTGAGCCAGTTTAGTCAATTTCTTCCTCTCTTTTTTCAATGTCACCCATAGTCTAAGCTAGTTTGTCCTGAGGAACTAAGACATCCTTCCATTTGATTCTTCATTTCCATCATAGTATTTAGACAATGCATTCATTGTTCATGTGGTACTCTTAACCCTTCTTGGAAAATGTCAATCAAACTATTTTAAGCCCTTGTTGCAAACCATCAACAATTT